AAAGGATGTGTTGTATTTACATAATATGTGGGAAAATAACAATCTGAGTATCATTTTTTGTGGGATCCCAAAGGGCTTGATTGAGTAAGTTATGGTCCTCACTTAGGTTCACTTTGTGATCGTGTTCCTTTTGGACAAGATGGCTTGGATAAGGCACAAAGGTGGTTGCTGAATGAGGGATATTGAAAAGAAAGTCTTAAAAAAAACCCACCCTGAAGTTGAGGATGAAGAAATGGATTTTGATGGCAGGAGAAAAGAGGAGCTGGGTGCTTTGAGATGAGTAGTGGAGGAAGTGGTGATGGCTATGTCTGGTCCTGAATGGAGAGGACTCTTACTGTTCTGGGAAAGGAAGAATCTGTTGCCAAGAGTTGAGTTTAACTTGCCAAACACACCTACAATGCAGTCAGCAATAGGGGAGCTCTAGTTTACTTCTGTACACAGTGGAGATCCAGTCAATGCTACCAGGGATTGTGAAGGAGCAATATGAAGGAAGGGTAGGAAAAATTCCCTCACCTGAATGCTCTGGATGACAAGAGATGCACAGGGGAAGACAAGTGAACTGGGACACCAATGTAAGGTGGAGACTTGATAGGTGGATGTGTCATTGTGGTAAACCCTTAGGGACATTCTACCTGTTATAATGTAGGATGCTTATCATTCAAAATAGATGGCAAAAATAGTAGATGGTTGTGTCATTAGGTACATCTATTTTCATTTGGAAAACAGAAAACACTTTGATGAGACTTGGGCTCCTGATCCTGACCATAAATAGAGACAGAGCGTGCAACTGTGCAAAATAAGGTTAGGAGAAACCCCATGCAATATCACAAGACTGTGCAAGATCCCTACAAACTTCATCCCTAGGAGAGGATGATAATTCAGAGTCTGTGGTCAGTCTCCAGCTTTGACTGGAAAATACCATGAAATTGTAACTGTATATGTATGACGGACCATAAAGGAACCAAACTAATTAGTTCAGGGCTAAGACCACACAGCCTGTGAGAGGTTTCATCACCCTCTTCAGCAGAATTCTCATGATGGCTCTCACTGGGGATTCACTCAGGTATTGCTGTGATAAGAGCCATAACACATATGTGAGAGAAAACGAGAGAAAGGGTTCTCATATTTCTGAGACTCCATTATTTCTGCAAGCTACAGCAAAACACATTTGCAGGCATTCTACGAGGAGTTATAAATAAGGAAAATTAAACTACCATCGACCCAATGAGTACAGCCCATTTCATGTGGTGTTTTCACTGCAAAAGCTCTCTGACTTGATAACTGGCAAAATTTGGTGATTTGAGGCGTGCATCGCTGCAGATACGAGTAATTGGCAAAGGTGGAGGATATTATTTTAAAGAGACTGACTCATTTGAAAGCATTTAAGGAACAGAATGAAGCTACACACATAAAATTAATCAACAAGAGTCTGCTTTCAAAGGTGTTGCCCTAGTACAGATTAAACAGGATTTTAGCTCCGCTGGAATCTGAACCATCTCCCATTAGAGTTGGCAGAAAAGCTTTATTTATTATATACCAAAGACAAAAGGATTGGGATTGTGCCTTTCCTTGGTACAATTGTTGGCAGTGGATGTTTTTATTTCCCTGCATCATGTGAAGACCGTGGTCTTCCAGCCTTGGTGATGTCTATCGCAGAAGAAGGGTGAAGGGAAACTACCTCTGCTAGAAAATGCCCCAGATAACTCTTTTTTTAAGGTCTCTTCTACTTGGGTCCTGCTGCAGGGGGTGCTTTGACCAGGTTGATATTTTACCCTCAAAAACATAAACTTGACCAGGCACCCAAAGCTGACCGGGTAGGGCTTGACACAGGCTGCAAAACGAGTACTCCTTTTGAATTCAAACCCAGAACCCAGTCCAAGCTCTGAGGTTTTATGCAGTGCATCACCCAAGGAAAATGCCTTTTTTCCCTCCCTGTTTCAATTAGAAAGAACATTAGGTCAATCAGATAATGCCACATTGGGAGGATTTCCTCTTTATGGCGCTTGCCTCTTCAATTATCTATAATGAACTTCCTCACAGCACTGCAAAGCTTTTTATATGCAAACGAATCCTGTTTTGGGGCTGCCGCAATCACTGCTTGTTAATGAACTTGAAACAAGTGTTATCGGAAAGGTTACAGCACCAGTGGTGGGGGGGGAAGGGATAAAGCTAGACAAGAAAGACCAGCCTGCAGAGCTGGGATTGGCCTGCAGGTAACATAGTGGACTATCTCCAACCCCCATCCTCCAGCCTCCTTCAGAGGCTTTTCTGTTTGACAGACATCAAGCAAAATGCCCACTCTTGGGAAATGGCTGCTCAGTGGCAGATAGGGCTTTCCCGTTGTCCTGTCCCACTGATTCACTCTGCCAATGCATCTCTCTCAACTCCTATTGCTGGGCAGAAAAAAAATGAAGATGATGTTGCCAAGGTCTTGTCTTATGCCAGGAGACAGAGGGAGGGAGCTGATTCAGAGGCCTCAGGACACGTTGGGCAGGTGAAGGGGAAGATTCAGGGGGTGTTGAAGCCATGGAGTCCCAAACAGTATTTATACATGGTATCTGCTGGCATGATCAGAACTGGAAACTCTCAGTATTGTTTTAGTATAGCTTAGACCACCACCTTCTCCTGCCCTCTGGGTTTTTATAGGTTTAAGTCACCCAGGGTTAGATTACACCTCACTTTCTCACGCTGAGTAGCTACTTCACCCTGCAGCTAGCCTTAACACTGGTGTGCCTTGATAGAGTGGGATCATTGGACTCAAGGTTGGAAAGTCTTTCTAGACTGCCCTTTTGCGAAAACCAACACTTCTATGCCACTTTATCCATTGCGTTTCAGCATTACTATTTCCCTGGGGACTTTTCATCATGGGACAGGACAACAACAAGAGCAGAGAGTGTTGGTCCTCAAGCACTCCTGGGGGTGGGACACAGCCTCTTTCCACATTGGTTGTGTCTTGTGCATGATGAGATATAAGGCATCTTCCACTGCTCATATACTCTGCTTCCTTGACCCTCCTCACACCTCCTTGCTTGTTGAAGTGCTGCGCAGCACCAGGATGCCCAAGACATCACTGCAATGCAGTACCTCATGGGCTTGCCACCTCCAATCCTTACACCAGGTTAACATGATGGCCTATTAAGCCTCAGTCCTTGGTAGCATTTCTCAAGCTGGACCTTGTGCCAGATTAGCCCAGACAAATGGCCACCAGACCTAAGACAGATTACCTCCATCCAGCTCCGGTGACTGCGTGTTTGGCTGTCCTGGTTCTGGTGTTATCATGAGCAAAGCAAGTTGAAGTCCATCAGCAGCAGTTGAGTACTTACACCATTAGCATCACCCTATAAGTGCAGACGAGAAATCAGGTTGCTCCAAAGGGGTCTTCAGTCTGGCATCCCCACTAGGACAGACAGACCTGGGGGACTGAGGAAGGCTTCTGAACTTCACTGCAGTGACGCGCTGGGTGATTACTGGATTTTCTTCCAGCCCTTGGCCATGGATCGGCTCACACCCGCAGTGTGATGATTGATGGCTCCTGTAATTCTATTCCTCGTTGGTGTAACTGCAGATGTTACATGTCTAATCCATTTCTTTATCTTCCTAAGCTATTTGCTTCAGTAAGATGTTTCCACCATCTGCTCTAACGAGCTCCCAGGCTTTCATAAGCCATAAATTCCACTTTTGAGCCTTTCTGTCCCTTTCCTTACTTTCCAGCCCTTGATCAGCCATTTTCCCCCTGCCGTCCCTTGCCCACACTTACAGATTAAGCATGCACCTCTGTACGTAAATTCCCTGTCTCTGCTCGCGCCGACTGGATCTGACTTTAATGTTGGGAAGGACAGGCTCAAATGGTGTTGCTCTCTGGACTGGACAGGGTGGCTGCACCATCTTGGTACCGTGGTGCTCTACAGAGAGCAGGCAGTGTGCCAAACATGGGGCAGAGAAGAAAAAGAGGGCACAAGCTTTCTCTTGGCACCTAGGAATTGAAAAGACTTAAAAGAGGGGACAGCCAGGCACTCACAAGTGATCGAGACAGCGTGATCTGTGCATATGGCATGCTTATGTTTTGTAGCATGTTGTAGCGTTTCTTTAAAGGATCCCATTTTATATCAAACTGCCTTGGATTAGCCAGGCAAATGCTGCAGTAATTTCCTAAAGAGTTGATAGCTTCGTAGAATACATGAATTTGACAGCTTGCAATTGTCTGATTGTACTGTGAAGAAGCAGTGCAAAACCCTAACTAAAGCTGTGCAAATTAGTGAGGCTTTGAACACAGCCTTCTGCATCGCAGCTTTGGGTACCCAGACCTCTACCTGTGCGAAGAAACCACCAAAAGGCACTGGATTAGCACCATCCACTCAGCATTGCTCCTTTTGTGAAACGGTGGCAAGCCTTTCCAAGAGATCTCCACACACTGTGTAACTGTTGTTTCTTGGGAGCTGGATTCATCTGTAATAAATATTCAGTCCCTTTCTGAACCAAAACAAACTCCTTTTAACAGCCCAGACTCTGTAGTTTACAGCGTGTCTTGCCGGAAGAACCAGCTGGAGCTGTGCCTTTTGTACAACGGTGCATTGGCTGTTGGGGAGGCAAGGAGTTATGCTCCGATTTTAGCTTTATTCGCTTCTCATGTCATGGAATTGAGACCAGGATAAGTCCCGGGAAGGGACACGCTTGCTTTCCCATGGCCTGATTAACGGAGCAGGTATTAAAAGCACCAGAGGTAGCTTCCTTCGGTCTTGAAGGTTGAAAGTCTGTTGTGCGAACAAGGGAGATAGGAAAGGATGGACTGTAAAAGAAATCCTTCCTTACCTGTTTATCTGAGCCTTCTGAGTAACGCTCCTTGAATACTCTTGTAATAGGCTGAGGCCCAGGGAGGCACAAAGGCTTTCTAATTGGTTGAAGCAAAGCGTGAAGTGAGAAGGTTGAGAAGCACCAGAGGACTCCACTTGGGGCTGGGAAACCCATGTGTTGACTTGACGCGTTGTCTTCTCTCTCCCTAGGACTGTCCTCAGCTGCTGCAGGCAGAGAAGATCCTGGTGCCGGTGGAAGTGATCAAGCCAATCACGCTGAAGGCCAAGAACTTGCCCCAGCCGCAGTCGGGCCAGCGAGGCTACGAGTGCATCTTGAACATCCAGGGCAATGAGCAGCGGGTGCCCGCCTTGAGGTTCAACAGCTCCAGCGTGCAGTGCCAGAACACTTCGGTGAGTAAGCCCTGCAAGCTTGGGAGAGGGGCAGGGGCCAAGGAGGACCAGGAGTGCCCACAGCACTGTCCCAGTGGGATCTGGTCTTGTGTTGCAATGCTTTTTTACCTTACTGCCTACCCTATTTCAGTTACAGTCAACGAAAGGTTGGTTGTTAGCTTGGAAAATGGCTCTTTTTGCTCTTTAGGCTGGCTGATGTCACCACACAGTAGTTGTTCCTGTCCTTGGATCCCCGAATTTGGCCATGCTGGAGCACCCTAGCCATGACCCACAGGCATTATTTGCAGCTTAACCTGCCCATATCCTCACAGTGCATCATCCTTGTGTGTATTCAAAAGGGTTTCCAAAGGGATAGGCGTTCCTGTCAACACTGAGAATTAAGGTTATTATGTGGGGTTTTGGTGACGGGACATATAAAACCCCATATAAACAGTCTGACGGATGCCAGCATGTAATGGATCCAAAGATGAGATGCCGAAGACTTGGGTCAAGTCTTCCTCTAGTCATTGACTCACCCCATGACTTTTGGTTAGTCCCTTTGCCTCTGTCCACCTCCGCTTCCCCATCTGCAGTGCAGGGGCAGTAACCCCCCTCCCAGGGAGCCTGTGTGAGTCCCAGTGTCACCTCAGCAATACCTGTCTTGGGGGCAAACACTGGCATCTGCCAGGAGCTGCATATGTGCAGTGGTGGTCTCCGCTTCTCTGGAGGTTTCTCCGTGAGATTCGTATCTCCCAGACATGCATTTGAGTCATTCTCATTGCTGCTACTACGAGATTATTTATTAGTCAAAGAGCTAATTACAGGCTGTAGCCACTTCACTGCAGCTCTGCCACTCCATGCCGGGCAGCGCTTGTTAAAATCCATCACAACATATTCTGCTGCATTAAGCAGCGTGCTGAAGATTACAGGCAGTTCACACATTTTACGATCTGTTGCAAACAAGCAACTTCCCAATGACACTCTCGCATTTGTTCCTTTGTCCCCCTCCCTTCCCCTGATTTTCATTACCGGTTAGTGGCCTGTGAGCATCTGGGTTTGAGGTTTCATAGAATAAAGCATTGCATTTTTATGTCTTTTGTTTTTTTTTTTTTAATATTTTCTTTTATGATAGTGAAAGCCTGAGGCTAAAGGGTATTATATGGACCTGGACAGTCTTAGCAAGGAAGACAGCAGCCACCCTTTAGAGTCGTGATTTTTCTGGCACACATAGGCATCAGCATGAGGGATCTCGGGATGATTTTAAGCACGGTTAGGCTGAGTAGGGGAACAACTGCCTCAGCAGTTCTAGAGAGTTTCTCTCAGCATCCCAGTTTGTGGTATCCAATAAATGAGCCTGGTTTGGCGAGGTAATGGTGACTATTCCCATACTGCATGCTTCAAGAAGTTGCTAGTGCCTAGGACGGGAGAAGTGGGCTTCGATGAATCCCTAGATGCGTTCGCTCATGGGATGCCTGAGTGCTGCGACAGCACCATGTTGGTTTTAATGCTTCTTTCGATGCCAAAACACTCAAGACTACTCCTGAGCTGCACAGGGGGGCAGGGCCGAGTCTCACACTAATGCCAAAGCACTCCATGACAGTGCTGCTCTGCGGTGTCTGTAGGACGCCTGTCCCATGTTTGGTTGTGGCTCAGGTGTATCTCTCTTTTCTCCAGGGAGAGAAGCTTTTTGTGGAATAAATTCAACTCTTTTCTATTCTGCTTTCTGCCTCCTCTCTCCCTCTCCCGCTCGCTCTCTCTCTCCTTCTCTTTCCTTCTCTTTTCTTCCCTTTTCTTTCCTTTTCTTCCCTTTTCTTTTGAAGGCGCTTTGACTCTCTGATTTGAGTTCTTTTTTTTTTTTTTTTTTCTCTGAGAAATGTTATTTCATTGTTGCTCTGCATTTGCCAGACACTGAGAAAAAGAGATGTGGAAGGGAGAGCCAGACAAAAGAAAGAAACATTCACACAGATACAAAAAAAGGAACAGAGAAGCCCCGGCTCTGTTTGAGCAGGTGGCAGAGGACGCAGACAATAGGGAAGGAGTGCTGTAGATATGTCTCCATCATGATTATTTCCTTCCCTGCCAGAATTAGCATTCAGTCTGAAGCCACAGCGATACAATGAGCCCCTGCTCTGAGGGTCACCTGGCTTTAGAAACAGCCGTGTGAGCTTGTTTGCAAATTGAATCAACCCCCTTCAACAGAGCTTTTTACTCGGCAGAGTTGCTGGATGAGACACTGAATGTAGCACCTGCATTGCAGGCTTGGAGAAGGTCCAAAGGAGGGTGGGAGGATGTGTTGTGATGGTGTGTCCCTGAAGGGATGCTATCCTGCCAGCAGATCTTTCTGTTGGTGATGCATGCTAGACTAAGCAATCACTCTTGGCATGTTTTCCTTCATAAGCCTCAAGATCTACCCCCTCCCGTCATACACCAGGCACCCATGAGCTCAAATTCAGCTCTTGCAGAATAGTTTCTGCAAAATGCAGGAGTTTTCCTGCTTTCACACAGGATAGGATGAGGGGAAAGCCTTAACTCTTGCTCTCCACTGCCTGGTCCCTCAGGATTTATACCAGGATAGCTGAGATCAGAACCATCTTAAGGAAACACTTTTCTAAGCGGCTCCAACTTCAGTTAAGAGATGTTATAAGGGCGCCCAGGTGGGACCAGCCTATCTGACGGTCTGTCAGGAGTGTCATAACCAGCCCTGATGGTGCCTGGGTGCTCGGTCCAGTCAACAGCCAGCTCTGTCTCTCCCCCTGTCTTTCCTGGAGATATTTCATTTGATAACAGCAATAAGTCACTGCAGGCTGCACGCTTCGGGACAATTATTGTTCTTGTCAAGTGGTTTGAGACTCACAGCTCTGGGCTTTGTCCTCTATCACACCACCCAAGGCACGCAATTATCACTCGGAGAGACCCTGCCTGCCGTTCCTTATTGCACTTATGATAGCTCTGCCGACAGTCTGGACACAGAGTGATGGGAGGAAATGAAAAGGAGGAGAACTAAGGAGGCATATAAATAAGTAAGTAGAAACATCAGCAGAAATGGCTGAAATTGCTTGATCTATGAGTGCAGAGAGCAAACTCCCCAGCGGGAAGCAGTGGGATCCCCAGCACTTGCAATCGGCCCAGTATTAGCAGTCTTCGGCATGAGGAATAGGGAGGTGGGCATGAGATGACCTGCCTGACCATGCCATGCTCATTGCCGTTACCTGCTTCAATGACTAAGCCCACACTTCTGCTTGGTGTGAGCCTGCCCGTTGCCTGGCCTTGGCACACACAGGCAGCACACACTGATTTCTAACAGCAAAATCCCTGCTGATAATTTGCCTCAAAAGTCCTGCACAGGCGACCCGAGATGGTACAGCTGAAAGTGTGATGTAACACAGGGATAGGAAACACAAATATGTTTTATTTGTCATATCATGGCACTCGAGCAAAAGATCTCAGAGGCGTTTGACTCTGTGATGTGGCTCACACAGTGGAGGGAGTGATAAAAAAACAACCCAGAGCTGGGAAAAAATGAGGAGCTATTCACAGAAATTGTGAAAAAACACACTTATAGGTAGTCAAAGGAAGATGAGCACAGGGCTGTGAGTCATACGTACACTTCCCTATTATTATGATGCATTTTTATTATTATTTATCTACATTCGAATATGACAGAGCAACCCCAATCCCAATATGGGCACTATTATACTGGGTGATACTCAGACATAAAAATTCGGTCCTAGCTCTGGAAAGCAAAGTACTGAAGAAGATGGGATGACTGTGTGCAAGAAGTTTTCTGCCTACAGTTTACGGCTGCAAAATTGATGCAAAGAGAGATTGAATGATTTGCACAGGATCACATAAGAAATTGGTGGCAGAGCCAGATATGGGAATCAATCGCCAGACCTGAGCTCTAATCACAAGACTGGTTTTTGTGGTGTCAGGGAAAACAGACTAACACTAAAATACTAGTAAAAGGATGTTTGCCTGCAGATGTTTCACTGCTATTGGACGTGATTGAGGTACAAGGGGGAAACCATGTAACCGTTCTCGGTTTACCATCCTACGTGTGCCCAAGCCAAACTACCAAAGGGCTTTGCCCGGTGATACAGCATCCCAACAGGATGCAGCAAGAGGTCAAGCACGGCTATGGATTTGCACAAACTGCAGGGCTCAGAGGTCTGTGAAGTTGAGTTCCTCTAACACAGGGTGCCTGTAGTAATGGGATGCCCAGAGGAGCCAGGAATTTGGGATTTCTGACATGCGAAGTATCTTTCCATGAAGGCAGCTAATGTTTGCGTAGCTATTGTAGAACTGATGGCTGTGATTTTGCAGCCATCCTCTTAGCCCGAGGATACTGAACTCCCAGTAGACAAACAGTCAATGTGTTTATAGTAGCTTACATACAATATGTTTAACTGCTAACAACATGGCAAAACGGCCAAGTGATGTGACGGGCTCAGCCCATGTCGCAAGAGTATCGGTACTAGCGAAGTGTTTAAAAGACAAAGAACTGGTACTTGGGAGTTCAAAACTCACTGTGTTGTTCTTGTGAATTACAACAGCTCCTTCTAGCAGCTTTTTGGCATTGCCTTTCTGGAAGGGCAGCCTCTCTTTCTCAGTTTGGGCCTCTAAATTGCCTGTGATTTTCTGCTTTGATTTGATTTGCATGGTGGGAATCCAGATTTGGCAGACTTAGGGGCCAGATTTACATCTTTTCAGCAGTTTTGCCTGTGCTGGAGAAAGTTGTGCGAGGCAATGTATACACACAAGCCCTAATGGTATGAATGCTCTTAGCAGGAGTATCCGGGAAGCTCTACCGTTAGTCCCGGAGATCGATACACCATCCCTTTTTTCTTCTCTGAAACATATTTCCATCTTATTGTTACAGCCGAGCGAATCCTTTTCAAAGACTCCTATTGAGTTCAGTGGGCTTTGAACAGGGGTCACAATGAGTTAGCAGCTCCTGTGGTCTGAAAAGGACAGAGCATTTACTCGCTGTTACTTTGCAAATTGCTCCGTTTCGCTACCATGCAGCCCATGAGCTGTCTGAGCGGGCCGGGCACGGAGAGCATCCTCATTCCAGCCCCCAGCTGGCTTCATCCTTGGAGCTCTTCCATGGGGATCCTGTTGTTTATTCCCTCGCATCCATTTCCAGTTCTGGATCAAGTCTGCTGAGTTAACAAGTCTAATATGTGTTTGCCCCCGGTGCTGCGGAGAGATAAGATCTGAAATCCCAGCTGGGCTCCGGCTGCTGGCGCTTGGATCCGCAGTGGGATGAAAGGCTCTGGGGGACTCCAGCTGCCTGTCCCTTGGCAGCCCTGTCTAAGCTCTGCTAACAGCTAAATCCTAACACACACACACACACACACACACACACACACACACGAGGCTTTGCTGAGGCAGCCGCTAGCGCTTTCTCAGGAACCTACAGACTCAACTTCTCACTTAGGGGTGACCAGTCATTCTTTATATAGATTCTTTCCCATTCCCAATCAGCGTTTGCAAAGTGCTGTGCAAAGCAGGCACTTGCAAAGCTCCTGAGTGGCAGAAGATTAATTATTCTTTACTTTTCAGGCTCTCTCCTTCCCACTCCTGTCTCCCCATCCTTGCTCCTAGCTCCAAAAAGCTGTGAAAAGCCAGTGTTGTGAGTCCAAGTGGCTCTGCATCATCTTGCATCTTGCTGGCAGTGACACCGAGAAGTGTCATAAAAATGCTAATAGTGAATGAGACTGGCGGGTGCAGCCCAATTGCAAAGGACTCTGCTAACCTGCGGCTGCTCTTTACTTCCATGGTAACCACAAAGCTTATACCCATAAATACCCTACAACTAGATCGTAATCACAGGGTCTTGAGGATTAGTGGCTAATTGTGTTTAGTTTGTCCAAAGAGAAATTACCGTGCAACCAGCACTCGCTCTGCTGTAATGGACAGAAATCACCATATACAATTTACTCTGCAATTATACGGTAATTAACGGATACCGAAAACCCTACCTCTAAAGGCTCAGAGCTTCGGCATCTCTGTGGAAAATCACGCTGAGACTTTAAGCGATGGGGAACTCTCTAGTGGTCTCTAAGACATACCCAACCAAACCAGACAGCTTATTGAATTGTACTTGATCTTGTAGTGGGGAGAATACCTTTTTCTTTAAAAGTGAGGGTTTGCCCTGCTATAGATCCTAGTGCAGTGGGAGATTCCTGATCTCAGGAGGGTAAATCCTTATGTGCACTGTGGTCATTAATAGCAGCAGACATGAAACATCTCTCTCCTTCTTGCCTTGTTCCCATTCTGTCCTTTAAGCCACCATCTCCTCTCCCGTTATGAGTTTTTTTGCCTTTTGGTGAAGTGTTGGATGGAAGGTGTTGATGGAGGTGGTCAGTGGGATCTGACGGGCAACTGGGTGAACCCTGTGTGAACTGGCTTATGATAAACCAAAATCTAGCTGAAAAAATACATTTAAGCGCCATGTGTCGGAGAGGTCTCCGAGTGGAGATGGCCTCCAGAGATCAGCTTCCATTTCCTTCTTTAAGCCCAGATCTGTGTACCTTGACTGTGCCTGACAAGTGTTTGTTTAAGTTTGTCCAACTCTTTCAGAAGATTTCTATGGATTTCTAAATGCATATTTGCTGGAAACTGGATACCCCCTACTCCAGCTGAAGCCTTTCTGGTTCTGAGTGGAGAAAAATAATTGCCTCCTGAGGTTTACGTATGTAACAAACTCTGGTACCTCCCCAAATGAGATTTGCTTCGGGTTTTTTTGGCAGCAATGTAGCATTGTTGATTCACAATCTGTTTGTGATCTTCAGTAGTCCCCAGACCCTTTCCTGCAGCACTGGCCAGTCACTCCAATTTCATATTTGTTTGCATTGATTCCTCCTACTGAAGGACTCCTACTCCTACTCGGCAGTTGCCTGTGTTGAATTTCACTTTGTTGATTTTGGCCCAGTTCTACAATTTGTCAAGTTTGTTTTGAATTCTTAACCCTGCATTTGGATGTTCTTGCAACCTTTCCCAGAGCAGTGTCATTCACAAAACCTGTAGTCTATCATCCAAGTCAGTAGTGAAAATACTGACTAATGCCAGACCCAGGACCATACTCCTTTTGAAACACCCTCCCAGCCTGACTTTGAATCATTTAACTTACTTTTTTTTTGGTAGCTTTTGCATATACCTTATGGTGACTTCTTTTAGATCATATTTCCCTAGTTTGTTTATGGGAATCTCCTGTAGGACAGTAGCAGAAACTCTACTGAAATCAAGATAAATCACATCTGCTGCCTCCCCTTTATCCACAGAGCCATTAAGCCTGTCAAAAAAGGAAATTAGATTGGGTTGACACAATTTGTTCTTGACAAATCTATGCTGGCTGATTTTTATCACCTTATCATCTTGCAGGTGCTTATAAATTGATTGTTTAATAATTTGATGTACTTTCTTTCTGGGAAGCCAAGTTAGGATGACAGGTCTATAATTACACAGACCCTCCATTTTCCCCTTTTTTAAGGTATTTCCATGACATGCCTGTTCCCTGCTGTCTGAGACCTCACTCAGCTCCCAAGAGTTCTTCAAAATATCAGTAGTGTAAATAACCTTACATATACACTCAGCACCTATGGAGTACATGGCAGAGGTATATTTGGATGGTAGACCCACAATGCACAATGTACACCTTAGAGGTGAACCCAGGAGGTGGCAAAATATTTTTCAGAGCTGTGCTCAACACCTAGAAGGTAGATTTCCAAGATGTGTCCCGTCACATGCAACAATGCTTAAATCATGTGATATTCACCTAATAGTTAAATAGGTTATTGAAAGGGGCACGGCTTGCTCCATTGAGAATCACAACTTTGAGAGCATCCCATGGCTTTCTGGCGGGTAATGGCTGGTAGGGAGGTAGATGACAGCTCCCTTTCTCTTGTTCCCAACTTGTGGCACCACCTTTTGCCTCTTCCCATCCCAACCCCTCCCCAGCTCTGGGCAACATGTAAGTCTGGGTTTGGTTCTTTTTTTTTTTTTTCCCACTCTCCCACTTCTAGTATTCGTACGAAGGGATGGAGATTAACAGCCTGCCGGTGGAGCTGACGGTCGTGTGGAATGGGAATTTCAACATTGACAACCCAGCACAGAACAAAGGTAAAGAGTTATTTCAACTTGTCCTTGGAAGCGGTAACCTTAGCAACGGGCCACATCGCTCCCTACACTTAACAAAGCCGCCACCATCTCCCTGTGCTGTCTGGTGCATACTTGTTCTCTGCACTCTGCAAATTACCAAATTTTTTTGTGTGTGCTTTATGTTTCCCCCTCCCACCCCCACTTCTCTCTTTGCACCTGAGAAATACAACTCTCCCTCCCACTTGTGTTGCTTTCCCTCTTCCTTCATCATCTTCGCCTCCCGCTTCTCCCCACATGTTTGTGTCTTGTTTTTATGCCCCTCCCTCTCTGGCTTTCTCCCCTGCTTTATTTCTCCTGCAGTGATGCTCTTCAAGTTAACATGCCAGGAGATCGGGCGCGCTCTGCTCAGAGGCAATGTAGTAATGAACAGGGGAAGGGAGAGGGAGGGGGAGAAAGGACGCAGCTTGACAGTGGGAAAAGTCTGAGCAAAATAAAATGATAATGGCAAAGGACCAAAAACCACCTCCTGCCCAGACCCTGACTCCGTTTAACTACCACCGATGGCACAGGATTGATGTGCCCCTCACAGAGGGATATTGCACGTCGAACCACAACCCTGAGGCAGGCATTTTTGCTGGAGATGGAAAGTCCATTCACATTTTCTTCTTCCTTCTTGTTCATTACCCTTAGCCACCCTGAGGCCTTTCCCTCAGGCAACCTCTCCTCTTGGCTGCTCTGCATTTACACCTCAGACCTACAGACTCTCTCCTTCTCACGTCACCACCTCTCAGAAGTTTCTCCCTCCCTCGCTTTACCTTCTCTTTTCTTGGACACTTTCCACATCTTCTCCCACTCCATCTCTCCCCATCAGGTGCTCCCATGCTCCTCTCACACCATTTCACACCCACTCTCATGCTGAGGGGTGGTGGGCGAGGTTTCCACCGACACCACATTGAAGCTGGAAAGCAATACAGAAAGCAACTCTTCTCCCCACGGCATGACCCCTTCTCCCTATACCCACCTCTGTGATGTCTTGCTTTGCTGACTGGAATAGCCAGCAGGTTTTAATACCCAGTCTAAATGAAAAAGGTCCTGCACTGCACCCCCGCCCCCCCAAAAAACAACAACTGTGGCTCTTGGAGCTTAAATCCACCCAGTAAACACAACAAGCTGGAGACCCTTGTCTAGCCCTGGCATCCAGTAGCGTGTCTTCCCTCTCTCCTGCTCTCCAAGCTGTGCCAAGGCATTGCCAGGACAGCGCTAATTTTCATGGGCCTGAACAGTGCCATGGACTGTTCTAGACATTAACAGAGGGAGTTTGAGGTCTGGGTTTGGGTACTCAATCTGGTCCTGCTTAGTTTTCTCCTACCATTATAGCCTGAGTGTTCCTGATGCAACATGGTCCACACCAAGAGTGGAAACCCTTTTTTGGGCAGTACTGAACTAGGTTACGTAGGAGTAAAATCAGTCTCATAATCATGATGACTATGTGTTTAGGTATGTCTGTGCTGATAATGTAAACCAGACCAGGGGATGAAGTCAAGAAACATCTGTGGTGCTTAGTCTTTAGCGCAGTCTCTTACAAGTTCTTGTGTTATTTAAACCCAAAAGGTTATAAGCAATGACTAGGAAAAATTTGGGACGTGGCACTAGCTGGTGGCTAACCCAAATTAGTATTTTGGATGCTACCATCATGTTTTGGGTCAGGAGGAGAGCTTAGGCATGTGCACATGGAAATACCACATGGAGGCACACCACATGCTCTCGAGGACACAGAGAGCTTCATTTACTAGCATAAATGTAGTGGCTACGAGCAAACACAAATCCCTGGTAGAGGTTTGGACAGTGCTGCAAACAAGTAGACCTTCTTCTCTGGAAAACTGAGAAGAAGAGGCAGTGGCAGGATTAGACCCAGTGCCTTTCTATGTGTAGTTGCACTGGGGTAGACCGCCTTCAAGCAACCAAGATGCCACTAGTTTCATAGCCACATGAGCTGGGCTGGTAATCTGAAAAGCTAAAACTAAACCAAGCCCACTGAAGTGCCTGCAGAGATACTCACCGATAGCATTGCAAACAGAGCAACTCAGCAAATTTGAGGGAATCTAACAGAAAATTAAGGAAAGGGCTGTATCCCGGGGGGGATACAGGGGATCTGTAGCACTCTGTGATTGACAGCTGCTTTGCAAACTCTTCTTGCGCTCAACCTGGAGAAATGAAATGTTTCTGAGCTTTTCCTTGCATTGGTCAATACTTGCTGACTTCTGGGGTGCAGGTGTGAAGAGACAGCCAGAGCTTTTCAGCACACATATCCAAAGCCTTTGAGCTTTGAGACTGTGAATAGTAATAACCCCAGACAAAACTTTGGTCACCTACCGACACAGCAAAAAAGAAGCACAAAGGGAAACTCCCCCATCTTATAAAGAAATCCACCAACACATCCACAAATACAGAAAAAAAAAAAGCAAATCTGAGAGCCTCGATTCTCTGTCTTCATCTTCAGGGAGGAGACTTTTGCTGTCAGTCCCCTGTCCAAACCCAGGCCTCAGTTTACACATCTGTAAAATCAGGATAAATAACATGATTTTATTTCATAGGAAGATTGCAACGTTTTTCGGCTTTATTTGGAGAAAGCGTTGATGGCTTCTAATCACTTAGCAGCTCAAGATGGAGCTAAGCATTAATCATTGCTGTCTGTATTAGAGGAGGATCAACTTAGGACTTCAAAGTGTAGAGCAGACTGAATTTCTGGAGCAGAAGAAGGGGGACAGGCTGGTTGTGAATCCCTGGATTCAGCTTCATAGCGAACCATTGTGGATTTACTACTATCTGTTAGGATTTCTGCTAAGGGGGAAATCTGAGTGGCATCACCTTAGCACCCAGTTCTGGGTGGTTTCACACCAGACAAATCCCCAAGTTTAAGCTGTGGGTAGACCAAGTCTAGAAAATCGTTTTAGGATGAAGAGCTGAGGCAGAGACTGGTTATAGGCGGCACTGCACGACATGCAGACAGTCTCTGAAAAAGGAAGGGGCTGAGGCCAAGTCACTTCCCAAGCACCTTTGCCCCCCACCTCCTGCTTGCAGCCCACCACCCTACTGAGGACAGCATCCTTCCTTCTTCTCTCTGCTTCCAAAAATATCTTGCATGGGGAACAAACTCTGACAAGTGCACTTTATTTCAAGAAGGATGTAAACGTATTTTCCCCCATCATTTACCCCCTCTGGAGAGCTCCCATCCTGCCTCTGGGACAAACAGCCCAGAACACCTTCCCCTCTCTTGCTTCTCATTCTGCCCTCTGACATCCCACCGCTCTCCTATGCTGTCTGCGTCTCTCAGGTCCTCTCTGTTTTCCTGTCCCTGCAGTTCACCTGTACAAATGCGGGGCCATGCGGGACAGCTGCGGACTGTGCCTGAAAGCTGACCCGGACTTCGAATGCGGCTGGTGTGAGGGGCAGAACCAGTGCACACTGAAGCAGCACTGCCCAGCCCAGGACAGCCAGTGGCTGGAGTTATCCAGCACCAAAGGCAAATGCACCAACCCCAAGATCACGGATGTAAGTCATGGATCTGCAAGAACTTGGGGTACTCCCTCTCGTACCCTTTCTTTGGTTTATTTTCCTGATTTCTTGTTGGGTTGGTGAGGAGAAGGTCAGGACTGAGCTCTGCTGGGTCAGGCAAAGCCCCAGGCAACCTTGGGGATGGGAGGCCACGGTGGCCTTCAAAGGTAGGTACAAAATTTCAGGTGTCTACAACACAGGGATGAGCAGGGTATCAGAGTCCCCACCATAGACAATGCAGACATGAATCAGTTGCACGAACACAGTCTGCTAGTGCAATCTGAGGAACCCCAGAGCATCTGACCTGCTCACACAGGTCTGGCAGATGTGATGTGAAGCCTTTAGGAGCAGCTGAAGGTGAGACAAGATGCTCTGGGGCATCTGAAATGGACAGTGTTAAGGTAATCAAACAAGCCTAACTGTCTCTTGAAACCAGCCTTTTTGAAAAGGAGATGTTGAGTGATCCCAGAGTGTTTTGAGCTTTGCTGACAGGAGGTCAAGGAAGAGGGCAGGTTGTAGTTCATGCTTCCTGGCAGCACGACATGGACAAAGTCAATGTCCTGAAACAAACAAGACTCCACCAAAGTTACACTCTTCTGTTTGCCTGACTGCCTTTGCATAGTGAAAGAAGTCCCTGTAGAACACACAAAGTCCTGCACAGTTGTCAGTTTTCCCCCTTTGAAGGTTGAAAGAGAAGACAGGATCAAGCCTGGACTAAGTGAAGCTTGGAACTGTCGCATTAAGTGAGAGAGAGAGAATGAGGGCAAGGCTAGGGGGAAGGACCTGAAGCATCAAGATGTTATTTAGAAAGTTTCCTATTGAACATGTTGACTGGGCCAGAGGAAGAGCTGGGGCAAAGGTCCAAAGGGGAGATAAGGGAATAGAAAAATCATAGAGAGAGGGAGCAGCGGAAGGGAAAGAAGGCAAGGGAGGAAAATCAGACCTCTAGTCTAAAGTGATTTTTGTCTGCTGTCTTGGGACGCCTTTGCCATAATGACGTGCACCATTTTCAGGGTCACAGGGCAGGCAGCCCTGCAGACAGTTCTAAGCCTTGAAAATGAGGGCTTCATCCTTACCAACTGCCTCTTGCCTTAAGCATTTCTTATTCCCCCATACCTTAGTTAACATGAGTAGCCTTTCAGGGTGGCTAGGGCCTTATTTTGCAAATGAGCAAAGTAAGGAGGAAAATGAGACACAGAAGATAAAGGGAAATGCAAAGGAGGAAAATCCAGCCTCCACGGTTGTGGTTTAATATGAATAATTAGGTGGGTTTTTTTTTTCCTAGAAAGCAAGAAAGGCTTTTTTAATTGTATATGGTTAAGAATCAAAAAGTGTGGGTGTTATGAACAAGCCCTAAACCAATGTCCACTCATGACAGTTTTGAGAAAGCAAAGGCTGGGTAGAATATGTTTTTTCTCAGATGCCACTGAAAAGAACCCCTCTTTCTGTGTTTCAAACCATATTCCTGTTATTCATCAACCCCCAAAGTACTCACACATTTGGATTGCTGGAGTGCCAGGCTGATTCTGATGTTTCCAAGGTAAAGGTCTCCACCACACCTGGATTAATCTGGGGCTGGTAATTCACAGCTTACCTGAACCACCTGAAGCTGTGAAACCAAACCCAGACCCATAGAATGAGCAGCTACACCTGAAAGTTCAGCTCTAAGGCATTGAAAATTATTGGGAGCTGGGGAAAACTTTTTTTTAATCTTTTCAGATTCTCAGACCTTGGGAAGGATTCAGAAATTTTGCACAGATTCACAGAATTTGGTATTGGGAAGCTGACAGGTGACCAACTAAAGCAGAAGTCCAAAATGCATGGACTTGACCATGTAGTAGTATGATGTTCTGAAGGTCCATCCACATTTCTCTGCCATGCTTTGACCCCAACCCTGCATCTACAGTCTCTTTATGAAGTGCAAAGCACTCACTCTCCACCCTACAGCTCCAGAAGGGACGTACTTCTAATTCTGCTGGCATTTCCTCCAACAGCTCCCAAAGCTCAAACAGATCATTGCAATATTCACTCATGAAATATTCCAACTGCCTGGTGCAATCATAAGTAGCTCTTGGAAAGAATTTTTTCTGGGCCATTAGCATGGAAGTAATCTCAAGTGACTGGATATATATTGCAGCTAATGGTAGGTCTGGAGTGGTTGGTAAGAGCATCTGGCGAGGAGCCAGGGCAGCATCTGAGCTGGTGAAGGAGGAGAAGCAACACGTGTACTCACGCTTGCACAGGCGTGCACACACACGCACCCAGCACAGAGCTTCCCATGACCTGCACTTACTTACTAGCTCCTGCATTTATAGTGCCACTCAGTGAAATTAAAGGACTTAAAGACTCGCTGAGCCACAGAACTTCCTTTAGGAGTGAGAAGTTGTAGCATTAGTTTGATATAGAATCGTAGAATGGTTTAGGTTGGAAAGGACCTTGAAGATCATCGAGTTCCAACCTCCCTGCCATGGGCAGGGACACCTCCCACCAGACCAGGTTGCCCAAGGCCACCTCCAGCCTGGCCTTGAACGCCTCCACGGATGGGGCCTCAACAACCTCTCTGGGCAACCTGTTCCAGTGCCTTACAACCCTCAAAGTAAAAAATTTCTTCCTAATGTTTAGTCTAAACCTGCCCTCTTCCAGTTTATAGCCATTCGCCCTCATCCTATCACTACATGCCCTAGTAAAAAGTCCTTCCCCAGATCTCCTGTAGGCCCCCTTTAGATACTGGAAGGTCACAATAAGATCTCCCTGGCGCCTTCTCTTCTCCAGGCTGAACAGCCCCAACTCTCTCAGCCTCTCCTCATAGGAGAGGTGCTCCAGCCCTCAGGTCATCCTTGTGGCTCTCCTCTGGACATGCTCCAGCAGGTCCATGTCCTTCTTATGTTGGGGACTCCAGAGCTGGATGCAGTACTCCAGGTGGAGTCTCACCAGAGTGGAGCAGAGGGGCAGAATCCCCTCCCTTGCCCTGCTGGCCACACTTCTGATGCAGCCCAGAATACGGTTGGCCTTCTGGGCTGTGATTGCACATCGCTGGCTCATGTTGAGCTTCTTGTCAATCAGCACACCCAGGTCCTTCTCCTCAGGGCTGCTCTCCAGCCATTCCCCACCAAGCCTGTATTTGTGCTTGGGATTGCCCCGACCCAGATGTAGGACCTTGAACTTGGCCTTGCTGAACTTCATGATGTTGGCACGGGCCCACCTCTCCAGCCTGTCCAGGTCCCTCTGGATGGCATCCCTCCCCTCCAGTGTGTCTACCTCGCCAAACAGCTTGGTAAACTTGCATCGGCAAACTTGCTGAGGGTGCACTCAACCCCACTGTCCATGTCTGTGTCAAAGATGTTGAACAGTACAGGTCCCAGTACCAATCCCTGAGGAACGCCACTCGTCACTTCTCTCCACTTGGACATCGAGCTGTTGACTGCAACCCTTTGAGTGAGACCATCCAGCCAGTTCTTTATCCAATGAGTGGTCCATTTGTTGAATCCATGTCTCTTCAGTTTAGAGACCAGGATATCATGTGGGACGGCGTCAAATGCTTTGCACAAGTCTAAGTAGATGACAACAGTTGATCCATATGAGTGGAGGGCATAAATTGTGATGCAGTGTCGCAGCTTTGGGTCTTCAAGAGAAAGCTAAGGATTCCTGGCAGCTTTTGTTTCCCTGCCTGCATTTCCCTCTCCAAAACTGACAGGTCTTGTTCCACATTTTCGCACCTGTGATAGAAACAGGCTCCTTCTCTGTTGCTGTGAAAACAGCGTGGTAGCACCTTCTTCTTGTATGCATCTACGGGAGTGCAATGAGTTGGGGTTAAAAACCCTCCCACGTGCTCCTGGGAGAATCCCAGGCCCTTCTGTTTTAACGAAATAAGTGGGTTTTGAAGCTGGCCTTTACAAATGAAAAGATGGCACAGGGAGGGGTTCAGAGCTGCTGTGCCAGCTTCACTCCATGAAGTTTCCTGTTGATGCTTTTTGAGTCACAACACGAATTTTTAAAAATCTCATGCTTTAGACAGAGATGGAAGGCGGATGATAAAGCTTCCACCTAGTTTTTTGTGACTTCTGCAGTGAAACTTTTGTCTCAAACTCACCCCTAGTTCTAAAGAAAAGAACCTTTCTAGCAAAATGTTCCTTTCACCACTACACCTTCTTTTATGCAGGGTAATGACATTAGTCATCCAAGAAAAGAAAAAAAAAATATTTTGACCTGCTATGAGATGTACTGCCCATGTTAGCAAGCTCTTTCAAGCATAGGTGACCCCTAATTAATCACAGACCTGCCTTACTAGACACCTAACTTACTAGAACAAGTGAATACCATTTGATAAATTTAATACCAAAAGGTAGAACCAAAATATTCTGTGGGGAAAGCAATTCTCTTACAAAGTGTGTCTAATACATAAGGAAATAAAATAAAATCTGGCAATTTTAGCTTATATTTCTGTTTTCATTTTGAGTACTTATTAGGTTGCATTTGGTACGGTGATATATTCTAGCCTTCCAGCGTCAGTCATATAAAGTGTTTTATCAGGAGAGGATTAACTGACGTCAGCAAAATAAGTATTTCAAGCAGAAAACTTTTCTTGAATAGACATTTATTAATCGTTCAGAATAAAAATATTTTGGAATTTCCATTTTTGGAAAATAATTCACGTTTTCTGTGTTGAGCCCCCAACTGAGAATCCGTATTAGTTTCTCCTGGAACAGAAATTCCATTTTCATTCTGATTTTTTAAGATACTTTCTTCATTTCCTGGAAAATAACCACATATGCCTCTCTCTTTCTCTCTCTTTTTATCCATTTTCTACTTGTCTATCAATCTCATCACCACAGCCCATCCAAAGGTCAAATCTCCAGCCAACCCAAATAATCATTTCACCTGTCAGATTTATGAATGTTGTGCTATTTTCTTTTAGGACTTAACTATCTTGTTGACTTTTGGAGTAGCAATAAGCTTGCCACCGTTCTGTTTTTGTTGGCTCAAGTGGTATTTAGAGCTGAGACCAGGCCATTGCAGGGGTGTTGTGCTGCAGAAGTTGTGTCTACGCTACGCAACCCTACAGGTCCAAGCACTTCTCTGTGATCATCTGTGCTATTAAATTATTAACTTTTCTAGGTTCCCTGTAGAGTCAGAGCAGACACACTCATTCAGGAGGTGGTTCATGGCACCTAAAATTTAATATTGTAAAATAAAATATCCCCTAGAGGTGCCAGCGTCTCTCACCATTTATTAAAGATGGACCTTCTAAAAATTGGCCTCTGGGTGGAAATTAGGCTAAGCCTGGTGCCAGACTCAGTGCTGGGAAGCAGTCAAGAGCATCCCTGCTCGTGCCAGTGCCTTGACTTTCCCTGCCAGTCCAACTGCTATGCAAGGTTCTAGCTGCCAGCCCTAGATTCCCTGTTGGCAGAGCCGTCGGCCGGCGGGTACAGACCTCAGACAGGGAATTCCCCCTTCCTCACTGTGGAGAGAGCCTTGCCAACGCTGGCAGATGGCAACCATGGCATCCTGAACGGGCAGCAGGGAATACCCTTTGAAAGCAACGTTTGAAGCCCCTTTCAACTAGTCAGTCGTATGGCACTGCATTTGGGCACAGGGAATAATTGGAAGGGCAGAACAGAGATAATTAAGGGCCAGCCCTGTGATTTCCACATTGTTTCAATGTTGAGGAGACTACTCCAATGCTAATTTCTACCTGGCTCTGAACAAGGGTGATGGACGCAATGTGGAGTGCTTTCCTGCATACACACCCCATTCACATGGGCCAGAAATATTGCAGATGGACATCTCTGGGCAGAGGGTGAGGCTCTGCAATGGGAGGGAAAGGTGAGCTCTGGTGTCCGGGTGGTGCTGTGGCTCTGCTGCCCAACACAGCCGCTGCTGAGCAAGACACAGAGATCTTATCCCTCCTAGGATCTGGTGATGGTCCAGACTGGGATGAAACCATCATGCCAGCAGCCACAAGCACTGTTGGGATATCCATTCATTTCAAGCTGGGGTTCAGGGGTTTCTCCAACCCACAAATAAGCCATCCATGCTCCCATATCTACCTTTCCTCTGGCCCCAGCTCTCCCGTGAGGGCAGCTGGAGCTTTTTCATAAATATGTGTTGACTCACAGCAATGGCTGCTGCTGTCTCAGTCACCATTCACCTGCTCCGTACCTAATCTGACACGTTGTTCTGCTGTGTATTGGCTTTTTTTTCAGATGGACATTTTCAGCTGAGTTTGTGATGCATGAAAAATATCTACCTCCAGAACAGACCAAAAGCTCCACGTGCTTTGGGCTGGGAATTTAGGATTTAAAGTGACTGGCTGAAGCCACTTGTGTCCTTTTCTTGTTCTGTCTCCCATTTCTTTCCACCATGTCCCACTCCTGCTTTTCCATGGCTTATGTCTATAAAGTACAGAGCTCAGCTACGCCACAAGAAACTCCTGCTCCTACCTAGAAAACGTCTCCTACTCATGTCTGGATGTTTTGCAAGTAGTCAAAAAAGAGTAAAAGAGATCTCGGGGGGAATTTTGGATACTCTGAGGTTGGGACGTGTGTGATATATATCTGCAAGGGGTTGGTCCTAGTGATGTATAATGAAGTGTAGTAGCCTTGTTCCCTCAGTTGTTCAGCATTCATAATTATGAGTGTATATAGTGGTCACAAAGAGACCTGATATGCCTCTTCTTTCACCTGAGAGGGTGCTGATATCTTTACATAGGTGGTTTGATTATTCTCCTTTTTGTTGGCTTGTTTCTGCAGATCAATCCAGTGACGGGCCCTCGTGAAGGAGGGACCAAAGTGACCATCCGCGGGGAGAACCTGGGGCTGGAGTTCAGAGATATTGCATCTCACGTCAAAGTGGCTGGAGTGGAATGCAAACCGCTGGTGGAAGGGTACATCCCAGCAGAGCAGTAAGTTGGGTGTGTGGCAGACAGTGGGCCACAGCACACCTAATAACAGCCATTGCTACCTTTAAGGTCTTCTAAGGAGGCCATTCCACCCAACCTTGGAAGTGAAGAATGGAAGATGCCATTCCTCACTTACAGCTCAGGAGCTAATAATCCATTTATTACTGTATTTGTGTTGCATATTTAGGTAATCCTCATGGCATATACCCTAAAGTTATCTTTCATCTTTCACATAACAACCACCAGAAGGGTCTTCAATTCCATTTTGTGGGACAGCCATCCCAAGAAGCAGCTTATCCCCTGCGGGAGCAATCATTAAGCCTTACAGCTTCAAAGCTGTCCACCATGCAAGGCTGGAGGACAGAGGGACCCCTGGGGTCAGACCTCAGCCCAGAACTTGTCTGTATATTGAAGTGAAGCTGTGCTGATTTACGCCAGCTGAGCATTAGCTCCAACAGCCAAAAGCCACCACTCCTTAAAGAATATCTTAGTCCACAATTTGGATCCTGGATTGGAAAAAAGAGGATGGGCTAAGTCTACAGTCCATTTCCCAGCAGTGTGGGCTGTTTTCTCCAATTCCATCTTACCCAGACCACCAAATGATCCCTCAAACCTTGCTTCTGTTTTGTATTTTCTCTACAGGATAGTCTGTGAGATGGGGGAGGCCAAGCCCAGCCAGCATGCCGGATTCGTGGAAATCTGCGTGGCTGAGTGCAAACCAGAGTTCATGGCCAGGTCTTCACAGCTCTACTACTTTATGGTAAGCTCCCGTGAGAAGTTCTCCTTGTCCCTGAAGGTCCTTGGGTCCTGTTCCCTTTGATGCACCTATCCATTGTCCTTGACCATATTCAGCCTCTGAGTTCTTTCACTGCTGTTCTGAGCACACCAATTTGTTCCTTCCATTTCCTTTCAAAATCTTGTTATGAGCAAAAATAGCTTGCCTAATTAATGTTTTAACAAGCTAATAATAGTCCAAATTATTAGTCCAGTTTCAGCTACATACAGCCATGGTCCAAATTAGCACAGAAAATCCTCATTAATAGTTAAAAATGCTATACAGGAAAGAAAAGAGAAAAAGAAAAAAAAAACCTGTCCTGGTATCTTACTTTTCCTGGGTGTGATGCTCACCCTACTGGCATCATTCCAAGCCCTACAGCTGAAGACACCAGTGTCCTACAGCAGAAACACTGGGGTTGCCACTAGTTAGTACCACTCTGAAGTCTGCAGCAGGAAGAGTATGATGTTCATGATGGGGTTTCTTCCTCCTTGCTCTTGAGTCCCCCCAGGGGTATCTTTATCCCCCCTCTCCCCACCGCCTGCTCCCTTCTCCCTGGTGCCCAGCACCAGTGGCAGAGCTGCCCAGCGCCCAGCCCGGGCACACGAAGGGCTGGTGTTTGCTGGGCAGTGCCTGCCCAGGGCGGCAGCCCTTGTCCATGTGGGGTGTCCCCAGCGCTGAGCTCAGGCAGGTCGGGCACGAGCCCTCGGTCATGCGGGACACTTGTGATCAGAGGGACAGCCAGCTCAGGGCATGGCAAGCACAGAGATGTCCTGAAACCCTGCAGTGTGTCAGTGCGAAGTCCATGGCCTTCTGCTAGCAAGGACAAAAATTCCCATTTACTGGGCCACAGGCAGTCACCATAGCAGTGACAGGTGCTTCTGCAAGATGTAGCATTCAAGAGGTGTTTGCTTTAGGTGGTCTTCTGGGGGTCCAGGATGAGTAGCACTAGATCAGTAGGGACTGGTTCACCAGCCAGGCTGCAGGTGAGCTGTATAGTATGACTGGGGTGCAGTGTAAGTAGGCAACTGTTTTGGATGCTCCATGGTTCAAGCAAACTTGAACTTCAGTTAACTTTTAAGGGTGATGCCCGCACACATGAGTAAGGGTGGGATCTCATCCCAGTGCTTGTACTTGGAGGGATGGGCTCAGGACACTCTCAGAACTGTGGTTGGCACAGCCCAGCAGCTCTTGGGTCATTACCCTCAGCTCAGCCCGGGTCTTTCTCAAGCCTCAGATACAGGAGAGACAAGTCCAAGATGTTCCTCTGAGTGCACAGCTCTCCATGGGATTGGATGGCATAAATAGCAACACCCTGGTTTGTTTTACATAGCTTCCTTCTGCCGCTGCTCATCGTGTGTCTGACAGTGAGAAGGGTAGGTGGTTTGGAGAGAAGACTCCATGAGGAAATTGGGGATGAAGTCAAAAGTCCCTAGGGATGGTGAGTGGTGGGATCACGTACACAACTTCCACTCACTTCCCTGCAGCAGGCAGTACCCCTGAAGCAGGGAGTTCCCTGCGTCTCCAGCCCCAAATGTTAGATATGTCCAAAGAAGAAGAGGAAAGGGATTTCCGATTGGAATCTGGAGTCAGCAGTGTGTGCTCATGGCACTCAGCGAGCAGCCGCACTTCTCTTTTCAGAGAGACTGCCGGGGCGGGCAAATTGGCTTGCTACACGGTCTGTCTGGGACACCAGCTTGCAAATCAGTCAGAGGAGCTCTGGGCCTGATTCTGCACTACTACTGGTGCAAGTTCAGCCTGAGTACCATCACTTTGCCAAGGAAGAGTTGTGCAGAGCCCAACGCACGTTGCACACTTGGCTTGGGTTTTTGCTCCGTTCTCTCCCTTTCTGCCGACACTCCTTGTCCAAGAGACCTGCTTATTCCTCTAAGACCCCGTGCTGGGGACATGCAAGCATTGCCTGGCCTTGATCTGTGCAGATCTGTGCAGGACTGAGATGAGAGGGTCTCTTTTTCCCCATCAAAAGCTCTCAACTCCTGCAAGGGAATGGGTCTTTTCTGAAATTATTCACATGCCCGAGCATTTTTTTTTTATGGTAAAGGGAACTGGTAATGAAAGCAAATATCTTAGATTTCCCCCTTGAGCTACAGAAATTCTCTATTCTCTGTATTTTCTGATGTCACTCAGGTGCTACAGCGGTGGGGGCAAAGAAACACCTTGAGAGATAACCCCCGCTAGGCAGACAGAAGGGCTTTTTCCAGGACATTACACTTCAGCGTTTCACCTTTGCTACTCTTGGAATTACTGTCCGATTTTGATCATCCGTGTCCGTCTGTGACAGTTTTTCCCTTTGCTTGCTGACTTTCCGGCTGCCAGCTACCGCAGCCGTGCAGGAGTGTGAAGTCAACAGGGTTTTCTCTGCTGAATACCTTTGTGTTAGACAGAAAAAAATACAGACGCTCTCCAGCCTGCCCATCATATGCCCTCTCCCGTGTCCATTGCTTTCATAACCGGAGCTGTGTTTGTTGGCACGGCTCGGCTTCCTCTGACGCTTCTGCCAGGAGGGTAGAGATGTTATTGCAGGCGTCACGACATGCCTTGGCATCCTGCAACAGTGGGTGGCAGCTTTAAGGGAAGGGAGATGTTTGAACACTTAAGGAAGGGCATCGCATAGGAGATAAATGTCGCTTTCTGACGCATAGTAAATCCTCTGGAAAATTGCTTTTCAAAAGGTTTGAAGCAAAACAAGGTCAAATTTGGCCAATGGGTTCAGCCTTCCCCTCTCCTGCATGAATTGGAAGAGATGATATTTTGAACTCAACATTGTTTAATTTCAGTGGTTTTGAAAAGACATAACTTAGAGATGCTAGAAAATTTGAACTCAACATTGTTTAATTTCAGTGTTTTTGAAAAGACATAACTTAGTTTAGAGATGCTAGAAAAGTTCTTCTCCACATTTCTAATCAGAACTTTTAAATTCAAAATGCTGTTAGTTTGTTTTAAGCTCATCTGTGATCAAAAATGCAAATTGCATTAGAGAGTTCAATAAGCCAAAAGGGAAACAAAGCATTTGGTTGCAGGCTGAAATGAAATTTGTGATGATCTAAATGAATTGGAGGTTTTTTAAGTCGTTCATTTCATTGCTATGATTATTGCCATGGTCTTTCAATCAAAAAATATTCCCTTCACTTTTCAATTCAGATGCTGAAGCGAGTTTGCCTTTTTTCTGACTTTGTATGAGAATACTACAGCTCAGTGCAGGTGATGTGGACTACTCTAACTGCATCTCTTCTGGGTCTGCTCCTAAAATCCTTGTCCCAGGAAAGCATTTGCAACAGGTCTCCCTTCCATCTTTCCCCTCCTGCTACTACTGTTGAACCTATAGAAAGGAAACCCAGGTGCACAAGCTGTGTCTGAGTCACGTCTTCCTCTGCCCTTGTCCCCGAGAGGAATGAAGTGGGAACCGAGGTCTTGACGTGCACCATGAGGTCGGTTTAGACACAGCTCTGACGGCAGCTGTGTGGAGGATGTAGTGGAGGAAAGCAAAGGGTTGTGGAGCAGAGGAAATGAGGCAAACCCCTAGAAAGGTGCAGAAGACTTCCCAGTCACTGTCCACTTCAGCCAATTACAGATCCACTAGACCCCCTTGCATTTTCCATCACCTTTCACCAGCAAGGAAATGGTAAACAGTCTAGAGGCTAAGCTTCACTGCAAACATGCTGTGCAATATTTATGAAGGCCACTGTGAATAATTAATGGTTTATCGCAACGGTGAAAGTTTAGCCACAAACCCTTTTGTAAGACGGGCATGAGACACGGCAACGCTTTGCCAAGGAGTATTGCTGGTGTAGTTCTGGTCTGCGAAGATCCTTAAAAGGGCATGGGCAGTTTATCTACCCATGGAGAAGTGGGACAAGGGCTTTGGGGCTTTAACTCAAATGTCCCTTTCTGGTTTGTAAGGCAGCTACTATTGCAGTGCTCTATTGTAGGGTATGTGCCTACAAAAGAGTTGGCCATTCTCAATGCATTTTCTCCCAGGTGGGAAGTCACCTCCCAGCAGTAGCCATCATGGTCAGCAGTAATTTGTACCAGTGTGGGTGGTCATCAATAAGGGATTAAAGAGGAGTTGCCATCACATCATGAAGCAGTAACCTAAAAATAGAGGAGCAGTACATACCGAAGTGCACCTTTTGTATCTACATAGTCTTCTTGATGATTTTATCCCAATAATAGCTGTTAGAGAACATTCCCCTGAAAAAATCATAAGAAACAGTGCATTTCTTGTTTCTTAATTTCTTCTTTCTTCTTATATATTCTTCCAACCTTCAGCAATTAATAGGTGAGGGACTTCTTGAGGCAAAACCATTTCCTAAGTATCACGTCAAAACCAGTCAAGTTTAAACACAAGAGGTGTCCAGCTCTGACAATAGATTTTTCTACAGAGCTGTATGTCTGATTTTCATGTTCAGCTCCTTCTCCACTCGGCAGCTTCATTTTGAACAAAAGCAAAGTGGAAACCTTGCCGCTGTTTTTCAAAATGGTTAGCAAGAGGGGGACAGGGACAGAGAGGGCTCTGTGTGTGTGAAAGAGGGAACCATGGTGTGTGTCAGGTGGTTTTATAAACAGGGATTAATGGTCCCTACAGCTCAATAAGGTGACTGCGTGATGTACCTGCTTGTTCAGAGGAGCTGAGGAGAGCTTCAAGCATTTGTGTCATCATTCTTAAAGAGAGGGGAAAAAAAATAATCTTCATTTAAATGCATATAGGAGCTTTTCACTTGGGACTGAGTGGAAAGTTTTTCTATTAAAATGCAAATGAAAGAATAAACTGTAACTCCAAATTTCTCTCTGAAAATGGATGTCTCCTCACTGCATTGTGGTAACAGGGTGATCTGTGCCTTCAGAGTGCAAGTATTTTATCTTGATTTTGGGAAGAAGGGAGAGCAGGAGAAAAAGAAAAAGAGGTTTGAGATTTGGAGCCCCTAAAGGAATTGTGCCCCTTTTTGATGTATTAACACAGCACTGTGTTATGTTTGGAAAAGCAGCTCAGGAAATTAGCAGAAAAAGGAAAAAGGGGTTCATCTGGACAGTGCTCCTTTTGTGGCTGTATTATTTCAGAGTACATCTCAACATAAGCACCGCTGTGCTGTAGCGGTGCAGTATTAGACTGTCTCAGCATCCAAATCTGATAAGAAAAAGAGAAAGATTCGGGGTCATG